TGTAGTGAGGTCAGCATCCCCAGGGATGCCCCATGAGAGAGAAACCCCAGCCAGAAGCCAAACTCCCATAAAATCCAGTTGAAGTGGTCCTCACAAGGGCTCAGGATGCTTCAGCATGGGAAGCCAGGCAATAAAGATCGTCTTACTGCGGGCACCCAGGCGATGCTGGGCCAGGTTCAGCATGTGTCAGCAGTGCCGCTTCCTGTGCAGAAAGCCCCGATCTTTCTAAAGGCACCACTGCCAGCGGGAGCGAGGCATCCCTTCCTAGGCTCCCTGGAATTGTCCTCAAGGAAGCTCTAACCCTGCCTGACTGAAAACTCCAGAGTCAAAGGCGTGCACAGTTTGCTTGGGCAGTGAGGCACCGGCAGTGTCCAGCCAGGTTTTCCGAGGGACCAGCTGATCCGTTCACCTCCTTGTCTTGGAGGTGAGGCCCCCAGATCATTCAGACCAAAGCGGAGAGCTGGTGAGCCTTCTTGCCTGCCTCAGTGGGAGGATGAGTAAGGGAGCCCACTAGGAAGTTGCTTAAAAGTCAAAACGGGGAGCTCTTTGGGAAGATCCTGACTCAGCCGGTCTGGGGTGGACCAGGAATCACTGACCCCTAATATCTGGTACTCAAGGAGGCTTCCACACAACTGCTGGGTGCCCAGATGCCATTGGTTTGAAAGGCTCCAAGGAGAGCTCACCATCTGCACGGAACATCCTGTCTGTCACCCAGGCCGCCTACTTGCCTAGTGACAAGCCAGCGGATGGCACTGGCCATCTTCCCATCATGCTTGTCACCTACTTGAGGGTGTCCAGGGAGCACACAGCTAAACCTAGCCTTCTTTCTGGAAAATGGAAAACAGGCGGCAATCTCCTCATCGGGGGACCAGTGTGTGTCTCATCAAGCACAGGCAAGAGTAAGTCACAGATGGAGAAACAGTCTGTGTGTCCTGGGAGACAGCTGCACTTCTGTCTGCCCTTGCCTTTGCCCGGAGGGGCTGATTTTGAGTGGGGGAAGTTAGCTCACTGGTTACGTGCTCCCTCGGGCCACAGTGTCTTAGCCTCTACTTGCTATTCGGAAACAGGGGACACTCCTGACACCCATGGAATACTGTACTTTGCCCCAGAAAAATGCTGCTCTAAGTGGGGTTCTCTTTTATGGTGGTGTCATAGCCACAGCCCTCCTAGAGATGGTATCATAGTCCATGCAGGTTGCTATAACAAAATAGCACACGCCAAAAACTATAAGGAACAAAAATTTACTTCTCATGGTTCTAGAGGCTGCAAAGACCAAGATCGGGAACCTGCTTCCTGGTGCACAATGGTGCTTGCTCACCAGGGTACTGGGTCCTCACACTCCAGTATAAGTACACTAACCAAGCCAGGCGGTGGTGGCGCACGCCTTTAATCCCAGCACTCGGGAGGCAGAGGTAGGTGGATCTCTGTGAGTTCGAGGCCAGCCTGGTCTACAAGAGCTAGTTCCAGGACAGGCTCCAAAGCTACAGAGAAACCCTGTCTCAAAAAAACAAACAGCAATAACAACCACAAAAATAACTACCCAAACCGTGTTGACACCCTCACACAAAGCACTTCCCGAGACCCCGGCTCCTAATATGCCACCTTGGCTTTAGTGGGGACAGAAGCATTCAGACCATACCGAACTTGGAAAATTGTTTCTGGGGTGAGATATGATTACTGAGGGAAAGTGCATCCCTAATTCCCCAAACCAAACCCAGATAAACTTGGAGAATACCGTCTGTTCCCAGGTTAGATACTGTCTGCGTGATCTGGCCCTCGGAGGTGCCTGAGGCAGCCAGGGGCAAAGCCTGGGGGTTAGATTCCGGTAATCCCTACAAGAATCTAGCAATGGGGGCTTCAAGCAAATTTCTTCATTGGAAAGCCTAGCGCCTTCACCCCACAGGCTGGTGGCCACGATGCCAGATTCCTCAACGGTACAGACATAGGTCCAAGCATGAACAGACTGGCTATGAAGACCACGATGCTCTGTGGGTACAGTCAGTTTTCCCACCAAACAGAACTCTAGACTGCAAGACTAAAAACTGCCACTGTTGACTAACTCTTGTCCTCACTTAGGTGGGCCAGTGAGGCATAGTATATGCCAACCGGAAGACACGTGGGGGTGACCAAGCCTGGTAGCTCGGGGTTAGGTGCTCAGTCATACCTTGTAGTCACTCTGAGCTACACATCCTTCCCATGTGGACAGTAAGTATGGTGATTCTAGACCACTATACTCACAGTCCAAATCACTGTAAGAAGCATTTGCCAAATGATGCAATGCCCAGTACTCAAGTTTTATGTTTGATATTTATATTTGTGGATACTTCCCTCCCCCCAAAAAAACCAAACCAAAACCTTATCGTTTTAAGCAGGAATTGACTATAATTAAAAGTATAATGAAAAACTAAGAATGAAGTTTCATGGCAAATTTTCTAAATTTACAAATTGGAACACTTGCCGGAGGGCCAGACGTCGGGAAGGACACTGCACACTTGGAAGGAGATGTGCACAAACTTGTGCGCTGCAGAAGGGCACTGACTTCCACGGAGGTGTCCCAGGCCTCTCACCTGAGCACGTGGATGTGCAGAATCAGTTGCTGATACCCGGAGACATTCCTCCAGCTTGCTCTCTGGCAGAGCAGCTAAGACTGGAGTGTGACGTAAACCTGAGGTATGAGGTGCCGCCTACCCACAATGCTCCTTTCTTTTCCAAATATGCACCCACAGCGCGTTTCAAATTCAACACCTCCCTCCTTCGCTCATTCCTGAGCCAGACACAGAAAGGAGCCGTGATTTCCCAATGGGTGTCCCAATTCCAAGAGGACACACGGGGACAGATCTGGACTTGCCAGCCCCATGGAGAGCACACAAAGCTTGGCTCTGCCGAGAATGAAAGCCCCAAGAAGCCACAAGTGTTTCAGGGATGGCTTGTGGACTAACCCTGTGCCTGGATCTCTCTAGGACTGTAGCAAAGCCTACCCCCAAGGCCTCAGTTCTATGTGCGTGGTATAGAGGCATACGTGACACACCATTGAGCCTTATTCTGACTCCTGAACCTTTAGAGGCCAAGACTGTCATATCCAGCCCCCTTCTTTCTACACCTTCTTTCTCACCTCTTCTGGGACAGAAATTAAACACCCTCTTGGCAGGCTAGCTTAGACACATCTACAAAGGCAGCTGAGATCAACACACAACTCCTATAAAACCACTTTATTAAACTACCTGTTCCGTAAAACACATAGAAATGAACCTCCTAAATACATTCAGTTCATCCTCAGCAAATAAGTGTAGAAACATATTCACATTTTCCCGCTGCGTGGATTGTTCTTCCAAACATGCTGTACAGAAACACAGATATGCCCAGAGCTGGGGACACCACACTGTCTCAAGGCACCCAGCCATTGCCAACTGACAACACCGTTCTGGCAGGCTTCTCTGGAGCAGCCCTTGAGCCTCAGCCTCTGCTCAGGATACTAGAAGCTGCTCCAGGGCAGATACCAGTCCAGGACCACTGAGATGGTAGGTCACTGAGACCAGCACGGAGGCCGTGTCTCACGCCTGTGGACCGGGAGGCAGACCCTTAAGAAGAGGAGATGCTTGCAACACGGTGTTGGGGTGCAGCAAGGCTCAGGCCCTCCTCGTACACTGTCCACAGATCCAGAAGCATATGACTTCATTCATCCAGTTCCCACCCACCCACAGGTCTTGCGTTTGAGACAATTTATCTACCTGGTCCTAGTGCAGTGGTTCTCAACCTTCCTAATGCTGTGACCCTTTAATACAGTTCCTCCTGTTGTGGTGACCCCAACCATAAAATTATCTTCAGTGCTACTTCATAACTGTAATTTTGTTACTGTTAATGTAACTATCTGATATATGACCCTGTGGGGTAGCAACCCACAGGCTGAGAATCTCTTTTTCAGGCTTATCCTAGCAGCCCAGACATACCTCCTTGGGGCTGTTTTCCTTCCTTCCTTCCTTCCTTCCTTCCTTCCTTCCTTCCTTCCTTCCTTCTCTTTTCTTTATTTCTTCCTCTCTCTCTTTCTCTCCCTCTTCTTTCTTTTTCTTCTTTCTTTTCTCTCTCTTTCCTTTCTTTCTTCCTTCCTTCCTTCCTTCCTTCCTTCCTTCCTTCCTTCCTTCAATAAGTGATGTTAAAATTTATGAAATCAGGTTTTCTTGGGGGCGGAAAGTCTGTTTCAAATAAACAAACCAACCTTGGTTTGGCTTTTCTTAGAACTTAAAAAGCACTGTACCATGGAAGAGAAGCTGCCACCAGGAAGCTATCCTGGGAGGTGGGTATGGTGCTTTGAACCCACTTACCCAGCACTCAGGAGGCTGAGGCAGGAGTATTTTCTAGACTACACAGTGAGACCCCATCGGAAAAAGCAAAATAAAATAAAATAATAGGGGTAGGGGGGAAGAAACTGAGGTTTCAGGAGAGAAGGAAGCCTGGCCCACAGAAAAGGTCATTTCTTTCTTGACCCAGAGTGACAGAAGAGAGTGACCATCACTCAATTGCACAAATAAGAAGGTAAACCGGAAAGACACACTCAGCTGAGCAGATCCTTCTGTCTTCCCACTAAAACATGACACAGATTGTGGAAAACCCTGCACCTTATATGGCTGACCCCATCTTCAGGGCAGACTACAGTAATGGGCTCCTCCATAAGTCTTGCACCCTGGGAGTCTCCTGAACTCATGGTAGCCTCAGAATTCTACCCACACTAGTCCGACATCCTACTCACACAAAATCCTCACCCAGAATCATTTGAGGAGAACCCAAGCAAGCCATAAAGTCCCTGAGAAGACAGACCCAATCCTACAAACACCCAAGAGCTTCTGAGAGGCCACTGTGGGCTAGGGATGGGTGTGTCTGTGTGTGCACGCACACATGCACAGATGGAACCTAGAGGCTGGGGGATGGGTGTAAGAAGGTACAAACATCTTCATAGTAAGGATAATACCCCCTCCCCAGGGAGGCATTTCACTCTGAAAAAGGAACCAACTAAAACATCATTTTATTTTTATAATATTAAAAAATAAGTCTTTGATATATAAAAACTGGCCAGAAATTTTTTTTTTACTTGTTACATAAGAATTGTCCTATTACATGTCCAGACTCTCACCGGATCTTTGTCTCGGGGTAGGAGTTAGGGTTAGGGTCCTGAGTATGAACGAAAGGAGGTGCTGGGGTCTGGGAAAGCACTCTGTAGAATAGAATATTCTCAGCCTCCATTTCGTAGAAGTCTGCACAGCAGGCTACAGATCTCCATGTACCTTTCCTGACGTGACCTGTGAGTCGTTTGGTGTGTAACAAGACATTAAAGACTGGCCTCTCGTGACCTCACCCCAGCAGCCAGTCCTGGCAGGTAAAATCCCAGAAGGCAGAGATGTAGACAGGCCCCATCACTTCTGCAGTGGACGGAGGATCCTCCCTAGGGTGGCCCGCCCTGAGTCCTTCAGTCTGAGAGAGGATCTTTCCCCTGTCCCTCTGCCCTTCAGTGGGGTTTCTGCGTTGGCACTTGAACCCCCAGAAGATTCAGGACACTTCTTGGAGGTCCTGGCACTGCTGGCCCTCTTCAAAGTGCCACTGTCCTTGGAGGCAGAATCCTCGGGGCCACCTTTGACCCTAAGCTGCCGCTGGGAAACTGTCCTGGTGATGCCGGTGGCTCTGGACGCCGGTGGAGCATCCGGTCGCATGCACCGGGATGAGGAGGCCACGGTATTTCGAGCGAAGCTTGGGACAGGAGGAAGGGTTCTAGAGACACCTGAAGCCTGAGGCGCTTTGGGCTCTTCCTTGGGGCTTTCAGAGTCTTGTGAGTTGGGGCTGTTGACCTTGTTTTCTTCGGGTTTCTGTCTGGGGATGTTTCTGAGGGGCTTGGCGCTGGGCTTCCTGAACGAGGCCCTGGGCTGACCCAAGGCCTCCTTCCCTGGCCGCCCACTCATACTGCCACTCGAGCGGGGCAACCTGGGCTCCTCTGCACCAGGCCCACTCACGTGGGGCCTCCTGGGTGAAGTGTCAGAGGTCCCCCGTACTGAGCTCCTTCGTGATAGCAGTGTGTCTGTGCTGCTGGGTGTCTCCCGAGGGGAAGCCTTGGATGTCGGCTCCGGACGCTTCCAGGGCCCTGCTCCCCTGCTGGACTTGGAGATGGGCACCACTTTGCGCATGTGCTCATTCTCAGAGGAGTTCAAGGTTCTCACAGGCTTGGGTGCCGCCCCTTGGCTGCGCCGGGCGCTGATTGGCTTTGAGGCCCCCGGGGATGGCTCTTTGAGGGAATTTCTCTTTAGTGCCGTGCTATCCTTTCCTTTGCTGGGTCTGTCCTTCAGAAGGCCACCCTGGCAGCTGGGCTCACTCTTACTGGAGTCGGGAGCAGGTACCTCCCCAGGGGGACTGGAAGCAGGGTTGGAGAAGGTCTGGCTGCTGCCTGCCTCTCCAGCCCCAGAGGACACTGAGGCAGCCCCTTCTCTCTCCTCCCCCTGCTCTTCTGCTGGTCTGGAGTCGGCTCCCTCTGAGCAGTCCAGAGTCAGTGAGCAGTCTGTGGTATCCGAGACATAGAGCGGAGGCCCGGGATCCTTACCATCGGTGTCAGTGACAACCACAGACACAAGAGCCTCACTGCTGGGTTCATTAGAGACAGCTCCGTCATCCTCCCCAGTTGGGCTGAGACCCTCCTGGGGACCTGTGTCCCTGGGTGTGAGGCTGTCACCACCAGCTTCAAGGGACTGTGAGCTCTGATCCTCTGGAGACAGCAGCTCTGTGGGACAAAAGTCCTTTAGAGTCGGTTGGGATGCTTCTTCCAGGCCCTTGGGACTCTGGAGGTCAAACTGCGCCAACCCCGTGACCAATTCATGCTCCCTAATGCCCAGATCCAATGGTAAGAGAGGAGGGGTTTTTGTGGGACCCAAGCCCACAGGCTCACTGTTCCTTTTCCGGAGGATACTTGTCCTACCCCGTCCAGTCGGTGGGAAAGGGGCTGCTGGCTCCTCCAGCCGGGGTGTTGGAAGCTGACTTTGCCAAGCCAAGCGTGGGGTTTTCTCCTGCTTCTTTGAGGCCTGAGGTTCATGTGCAATGTTAGGGTCATGGTTCTGCTGTTCGCTGGGCTCCATCCAGGCGATGGTGGGTCGGACCTGTCTGGGACTGCTCCGGGGTAAGCTGTTGAATTTGTTGGGGTCCTCAGGACTGCCGGTGGCACTCTCCAAGAAGGTCAAGAGCTCGCGGTCAGCAGAGATGCCCAGGGAGAGGCGAGAGCGGCGGGTGTTGGGGGGCCGGTAGGAGGGGCTGGTGGGCCTGGGCTTCAGAAAGGACGGCAGCTCTTCTGTGCCCTTCTTAGCTAGTGTCTCCACATCGTTCTCACTGCTGCTCCTGCCAAAGCCCCCGAGCTCCCCAGTCGTCCAGGAATGTCGCTTCTGCTCCAGCTCCTTCAGCCTCTGTAACTGTTTCCGCTCATGTTCCTCCCGGTCATGGTTGTCCTAGGGGAGCGAGGAGAAGCCAGCATGAGACACGGAGAGCGGGTGTGTGACACGAGGCCGACTCACTTTGATAATTAATGAGAGGGGCTTTCATCGACAAGCCTGGGTCCCGCCCCACACAGACTCTGCCTTTTGCACGTGTGTGTATACATGGCAGGAAAACTTCCCAGAGCAATTTAAGGATCTGACAAAGGGGCATGGAAGACTTGGCTCCAACAACCTGCCTACAGTTCTTATTTGATCCCTTGGCCCAATGTCCAGCTTCTAGTACGGGCTATGATTGTATATATGCACACAGTCTCGATTCCAGCAAAGTCACCTAGGCAATTGTAGAGAGATGCTAAAAGGGTGCACACAAAATTGCACAACCAAGTTGTGTGGCTCTATCCATACTCCTCTCTGAGTCAATGCACACAGACCCATCAGCAGGACATTCTGTTTACCATTGACTTGGGTATATAAGCATATGCCAAACCCTGGACCAAAATAAATGTACGAACATCAAAAATGCCCTCGTGGCTCTGCCAGCCGCAGCCTGAAGCAGAAAGGATGGTTCTGTCCCTCATGCCCAGGCCCATTCCCATAATCAGACAAGATAAACAGGTGTGCTTTACAAATCCTTCACCATTTATCCTTTTGGAAAGCAATGGCTCTTCCACAATGACACAGAACCCAAACAGAGACACCAAAGTGTCCGTCACCTCTGTGTGGCCTCGTAGGCTACTGCCCTGACTATATCCAGGGGATTTGTTCCTGGTTCCCCCTTGGATACAAACGTGAGGATGTTCAAGTTCCTTATGCAAAATGGAATAGAATTTGCACATAGCCTATGCATATCCTCATATACGCCTTAAACCAACTCTAAATTACTTATAACTAACCCGGTATAAGAGTTACATATGTATTGTTTATGGCATGGCAAAAAAAAAAAAAAAGTCCCTAGCATTTAGCACAGATAGAATTTTAAAAGATTACTTTCAATTTGTGGTTGGCTGAATCTGCAGGCGTGGCCATGCAGAGACAGCTGTATTTGTGTTACAATTCACGAGTTTCTTTTGGGTCCTGAGGCCCACGCAATCATGCAGTTACACGGACACCTCAACTCTGTTATTGTGAGCAGATTTTATTTGACAATACGTTTCCTCTTCCAGTGGGTTTTCCTTTCCAAGTTCCTGTGGAGAGCTGCCTGGGGAGTCTTGGCTCCTTCTGAAGCTCTGGCCACAGCTCTCTAGGGTCCCCAAGCTTCCCGGCCTTCTCATTTTAAGCCTTCACGTAGTGGGGGTAGCCCAGGCCCTAACTCTCATTATAACTGGGCTGAGAGCATCCCACAGTGTCCTCTCACAGGCTGGCAGCATCCAGATGGAGTGAGAGCCTCAGAGGCGGTCAGTTTGGCTTCAGCCAAGCCCCATGGCCTCCCACAGCTGAGCTCACTGCTTGGAAAGCAGTGTGTTAACGTGGCTGCAGGTGCAGCTCCCTGGTCTCAGCTAGATGGAGATGGGAGTGGATAAGGAACCCGAAGGAATTTTGGACTTGGAAGAAATGTGAACAGTTCCTCCAATGAATCCATGTATGGGTAAGTCTGCATTCAAACAGCAATTGCGAGAGCCTCAGGTTGAACCCTTTGCCGTAATCAAATGAAAGGCAGGTAATAAATAAAATCTGGTCGGCAGATGAACTGGGGCAGCCTCATTGGCTCCTCACTGTCACCGGAGATCCTGGATCTTGAGGTACTTTTATTTATTTTTTTATCAACAGGTAAATGTTTCACTTATCACTCAACCTGGGAAGTTTTCTGGTTTTTGGATTCAACTAAGAGACCGGTATCTGAATGGTTAAGGCAGCAGGCCCCCTCAATCTGGGAGACCTTCAAGGATCTTGCTCACGGTCCCCGTGGTGCCGATGCCAAAACAGTCTGTGGCTTTGGAAATGAGCAAGAGGAAGGCCTCTCTGCGAGGTGATGCAAGCCTCCCTAGAGGCTGACACTTCCTCCTAGGGAGGGGCTGAGAAAAACAGTCAGGTGTACAGGAAACTTCCGAGACTCACCAACATGAGCTAGCAACATGCTTCTCGGGTATTCTGTATGCTGTACGATTAGCAAAGGCCACCGTGACAGACTCTTGATGCTACAGCAGAGCCACCTCCCCCTCATCACTGCCAAGAACCTGCCATGACACCAAGCCAGATGGTCCTGAAACCAAAGAACTGATGACCATCGTTCTGCCATGGGCAGAGGACTGGGTCGGTAAGCAGAAAAATGAATATCTCAAGGACTGGAAGCAGGGCAGTGCCCACAGCCATACCTTAACGGCTTTGTTGAACCTGGTACAGAAATCTCTGAAGATCTGGAAGCATTCATCCAGTTTCATTGTCTCTTTGTCTTCACAGAAAAAATCGATGAGAGTGTGAGCCTCTCCCTGCAGCTCCCGGTTCCAGAGTTCCAGCTCCGACAACTTTTCCACAGCAAACTGGAGGAAAAACAAACAGGGACTCATGCGGTAAACAGGGTCAGCTGGGGTGGACGCGCTGCCAGGGTTCGATTTCAGGTCTCTGCAAAGGGGAAGGCTCTGAAGGCCACTCAGAGCCAAAAGGAAAATGAGTCTGCCCAAAGCAAACCTTGAGAGAACAAGGTGACCTCCTGCCTGAGGCCTGGAAGCCACAAAAGGAACTGAAGAAGCCAGGGGTGCTCATACACACCGATAACCCCAGCATCTGGGAGACTGGGGCTGGGGGATTAGGAGTTCAAAGCCCACTGGGTTACATAGCAAGACCCTTGTCTTTAAGTAAATATGAGAGCCTTAACCCATAGAACGTCATTGACCAAAGCTCACCTTTAAGAGCACTACAAGGAAAACAGCCTGCCATCATTAAGAAATTCTACTGTATTTGTTTTTCCTCCTCTTCTTTGGGCCAAGGTCTCAGAAGTTAGCTTGTCCTGACAAGCTGCCTGTGTTATCTGGCTGAGAGGAGACCTATACTTAACTGCAAACAAACGCTACTGGGTTACTGTCCCCACTGACCAGGATGGAACCCTGGGATGCTACCAGAGACAGCTGTGCCCCACGCGCAGTAGGTTTGGGGTGTATCAGAACTCCCCAGTTCTGATCGTCAGGTCCATTCCAATCCCTACGTTTCTGTTCGACTTTCCCTGACTCCTCTGGGATGTGTTGTTTTCCAAGGCCACCACAGAATGCAGTGACAAGTTGTGTTGAAGCCGGCCAGCAAGTCAGTGCTGGCAATGATTGAAGGTCGCACGTCCCCAGCATGTTTCCGATCCATCTAGAAAAGGGTTTGTGATGTCCAGGGCTCACAGGCACAGTTCCCCGATATAGGTTAGCAACAGCGTCTGCGCCATAATGAGGTAACAGAGTGGCGAGAGAAAGGGGACTGGATATTTGAGTTTCCGTGTGGAAGCGTGTTATCGTTGCCTTGTTTACCAGCCTTGGATGAAGAAGGAATGTAGGAAGCATGTTATTTCACCAAAGGACTCTTACGTTTGTATTTTAAGGACGTCTAACCACAAACGAGTTCTTGTGGAGTGAGGGGCTGGGCCTAAGGTGTGGGAAAGAAACAGGTTCCCCGCTTTGGAGGAGGGGAGTTGGTGTCTGTGCGCACTCAGCCAGCCACAGAGCAGAAATGGAAATTCCCGTCAGATGTGGCGCCTCCCACCGGTCCAACCACTTTCCCCTTAGTAAGCCTTTGCTTAACCCAGATACGTTCTAGGGGTGGTGGGGGACAACTCTTCAGCAGAGTGAAACCAGAGACAGTAACCATCTGAGTCAGTGGCCCAAGGCGGTGAGAAGCTTCCTGATACATTCTTTTCACTGGAGAAAGCTAACTCTTAGTCTGTCATTTTGCATGGCAAAAAAAAAAAAAAACTATAACAACAACAACAAACTCAGGCAAGAACAGCTCCCTCACTGTGGGAGAGCAGGCCTCCTGATCAGACTCTGCACATCCTATGACTTCTCTGCAGACACCATGGGGATGGATGGATACCAGGACGGAAAAGCCTAACAGGACCCAAGTTGCCCTCGGCACCTGGGACAAACATTCTGAACGTCAGCCTGAAAAGAGCCTCCGTGGAGTGTGACGTCATAAATTCCACAGCACTCTGCACAAAGCCGGAACAAGCTGTGCAAGCCAAGGAGACCACAGCCCAGCGGCTGTGCGGTGAACCTGAGCTTTCAGCACTGACTCGATGGCCGGCAGTGGGTCCTTAAGTCCCACCCAAAGTAGGATCAAAATGATGACATAAAATTGCAAAAAAAGATGTGTTTATGTATCTTTCTGCTCAAAAGCCTTGCATGAGAGCTGGAAGGGCTTACCTAGCATGTGTGAGGCCCTGGGTTCCAATCCCTGCACATATGCACACACACACACACAAACAAACAAACAAACACCATCATCAAACAAGTGAGAAAAAACACAAGACTTAAACAGCTCTGCGCTGCTCAAAGCAAAAGATGCGTGGTCTTTCGATTAGTGTCTGAGGTCAGAGTCAAGCCCCCTCCCAGAAGCCTCATCACACAACCCAGAAAATGCCCATCTGTGTAGCACCTTCTGTCTCTACGGGTTATAAACAATGCTGAGGTTGGAGCTGTCACTTAAAGGTCCTGTCCTGGTCCAGCAGGAACAAGATTCTCCGCACTGTTAAAACAAACACTACCAAAAAAAGTGTTTAAAGAGCTAAAACAAGGTTGCCTCTGAATAGCAGCCCAGTGGTGAGTAGCAAGCAGCTGGGTCTTTATATAGAAGACTTCAATAATACATCTGGAGGGGTAACTCAGTTGAGGGTGTGTTCTTAGCTTGTACAAAGCTGTAGGTTCAATCCCCAGCACCTCCAGGACGAAAAGGTTTGGTATAAGATTGTAATACTTAAAGTAAGAACTGGACTGAAGAAAACAACCAGAATCTAAATTTCAATGTGTGGCGGTTCTTATTCCAGGATTCCTGCTCTGTTTTATGTCCCTGACCACGCTTATCACTGCTCTGTATTTGGAGATGGTGACAGCCCCTGCTGCGTGCCTCTCCTGGTCCAGCACCTGACTGCAGGCACAAGGCTTTGGGTTCCAAACCAGTGGAGACTTGGATGGCCTCACAGGCTCTTCTTGTCTTCTGCAGTGGCAGCTCTGCTGTGCATGGCTCAAGGGACTCACAGGAGGCTAGATGCAACAGGACCAGGACGGAGGTCTCACTTTGTTTTTTAAATGAGGCAGATAAAAGAAGTACGTCAGACTATGTGATTAGTGAGTCACCCTGAGCTGTCCCAAACAGATCCACTCTACTGGTTTTTGTTGATGTTATTTGGGGTGGCTCCTGACACACCCTGCGGGCTGATGTGTTTGGGTGCTGATGCCATCAGAGAAAAACACAACAGGGACAATCAGTCTCTTTCCTCTACAGACACACACGAAGGAGCGTCAGCCAGAACCCTCCAGTGTCAATGTTCTGTGGAACTGTCTCCAGTTATCCAAAAACATGCCAGTTACAGAGCCAAACCCCCAGCTGCCAGGCAGAGCCCAGTGTGAGAGGCCTGGCCAGCCGCCGTGCCAGCAGAAGCCCTTCTTAGAAGCAGATTCTGAGATGGTCATCGCTGTCCTCTGCCACGAGAGGACAGAAAGATCTTTGTACTCACTTGCAAGGGGGCGGGGAGCATGATTGAGCTCTTGCTGCCTCTGCCCCCACCAATCGCACAGGCCGGCCTGCCAGACCAGGAGAGGGACTGACCTGGAGGAAGTCTTCCATCTGCCGAGCCAGCTCCTGGTCCCTCTGGATGTTTTCCTGAAGCGATTTTGTCCTGGCAAAGAGCGAGTGTAGCTCTGTCTCAGTGGCATCCAGAGATAACCTGAAGACAGAAGGGGAGAGTGGGCAGCTGGCACCAAGACACCGCGTGGCGTGTGGCTGTGCCAAAAAAGACCCATCTTTGGCCGGGCCTGGGACAGGGAAGCTGCTGGGATCACATCTACTGTATGTAGATCCTGAGTGAATCACCCACCCATTATAACACACAGGACTTAAGGAGAGCAGGCTGCCAGCTAACCCTGCCCGCGGGATTGAGGGAGCTTTCCACACAGGTGGTCTCAGCACCACTGGGCAGCAAGCATGGAAACTAAACCCCAGGGAGACTCAGAGCAGCCGCTTTCCTTGTGGTGGGTGGGATGCTCTCATTCACAGCGAGCCAGGCAAGGGAGGCTGACATCCGCAGGGAGCCAGAGCCCACCTCGGAGAGCTAAAACATGGCCAACCATGCTGCAAATCAGCTGGGCTGATTGCTGTGTGTTTGTTCTGGCTATTAAAGCAAGATCACCAAGACGGTTTTGTCACTAGGTAGGAAGGGGTACAGGTGAAACTCAAAATCCAGAGGAATTTTGTACATTTGAATGCATTTGTGTTGCTATTATGAATTTTAGGGCTTTTGTTGTTGTTATTGTGCAAAAGAGTTTTCTAGTTCTGCTGGTCTTTGGTGGTACACGAGTCTTAACCTAAGGACCAATTCTACTTCACTTGTTTGTCATTCTCCCTCCACTTCAGATAAACAAACCCGACTGGGAGAGGCTCCTCCATGACAAAAATGTCAAAAATGCTAACTCAGAAACGTAACACTAATTTCCTTCATATATATGTAATATTTCTATAGTATTAATACAGCAAGAACATTTAAATATTAATTTCTTTTAGGAATTAAAAAAGTTTGTATCTTATATCTGTGTTTTCTTGGAGCATCATCTGGGGATCAGTAAACACGAATTATGAAGCATTTAATCTTTGCACTGGTAATCCTCCTGTCTGGAAGACCTGTTATCAGTGGCTGGATGTCAATAACAGTTAGATACCGTCTAATGACAGCACTAGGAGCTGTGGTTTATTTCCTTGTGTGTAGATGGTGCATGCTATAGTTATGGCTGGCTACAGTCACTCAAGTAGTAAGGACATTACGTAGTCAGCCATGGTGTTATCTGCCTGTAATGCCAGATACTCAAGAAGCTGAGGCAGGAGGATCATTTCAGCCCAAGGATTCCAGTCCAACCCGGGCAACATAGTAAGAGCTCATTTTTAAAAAGTATATAATATTAATTTGGTTGATACAAGCACTGGCGAATTGAGCTACCTCATCAGAGGCAACTGTGGGCATGTCTTCCCAACTCTGCCTGGAGTACTTCTCTGCTGGTGACCAGAACCCAGCCAGGCTAGCAGTATTTAAGGCCCAGATGGCAGCAGATGTGAAAAAAACAAGACTCTTTTCTTGAGGCACGATTAACTGCAGTGTTTACTGGAGGATGCATGGGCCTATTATAAGTTAAATAACAGAAAGGGGATGATAATACACACACAGAGATCACTGTTGCATTGAAGTATGCATCTATCTTAGGTTTAGAGGCAAATTAGAGTAATGTAATTAGGGCTTCATGCTTGGTAGATACTTTCTCTGTAAAGCTGAGTGACTAATTTAGAATCAGGTCCTCTCACGGGCCTTGGTGTGGTTCCAAACTCTTTGAATGCAATAGAAAATAAATGTACCATGTTCAAGTCCACAGGGAAATAGCGATGTTGGCCCTACAAGTCTGATCTAAACCAACTCCCAAGGTCGTAAGCTGTGCCCGCTCAACCTCTTGGGTGTGAGATGGATTTGAAGTTCAGATCCCCATTTTTTCCTTATACAGAATGGTGCTCTTTAGAATAGACTAAAATGGTTTCTTTTAGTCTAAAAATAACCATTAGTTTTTCAAAGTCTCCACATTTCAAAGGTGCACACACACTTGCAGCAAACACACGGAAAGAAAGACCAAGAGAAAAGATCTCAACAAGAGAAAACATTTCAGAGTCCAGCCCGGAATTTGAGAGCACTCCGCCATTTTCATGGGAAGAGCGGCAAGGAAGCCAAGCCGCTGTCTGTCCCTGCGCTCACCTCGACGTCTCCTGCACGTGCTGCAGCTTCTCAGAAAAGTGCAGAAGGATGGCATCTTGCTTCTGGGCTTCCTGGAACAAAGACAGATTCTAGTCTTCCTGGGAGGGAAGCCTCATTCCCTTAGAGCTTCAGGGAGCTATCAAAACATGGACTTTGACATTCTTCCTAAGATTTACCAGAACTGCCCTCCACTGTTCAGATACTTTTAACCTTCCCAAGACAAACGATCCCCACGTGAAATTCAACTCAAGTGCATTGAAACTCAATGGAATGAGGCAGCAGCTTAGCGCCCATTGTTCCCCGGAGAACCCAATATACCCTGCCTAAATGGCAGGCATCTTGGTGAACGTGCTCCTCGATGAAGGTACGGGATGCCTCTGACTGTTAAACCAGTTTGCAAGCCAACTGTAATGAGCGGCATAGAAGCCCAGGCAGTATCTGGATTCTTCAGCTGTTTGCAGGCTGACTCGGGAGGGGTGAGTGGGAAGGAACCAGTTAGAGGATTCCTTCCTACAGGAGCCGGGCCCAAGGCACCGAGAGCCAAGGCCCACAGCTGTCAGAAGAGCTGACCGTGTTTCAGGCTGGGTAACTAAACAGTCTCTCACTTCAGTGCTTTGGATACTGACTTTTCAGTCAAGTACTGAAGACTAGAGGCTGGGCTGGGAGACCCTCTTGGTAGACTGCTTGCCCAGCATGCTAAGACCCTGGTCTCCATCCCCAGACTCCAGAGAAAAGAAGCTACGGGCAGAGTGAGACTCCAGATCTTACAGTAGCAGACAGCACTCTAAGGCACAGTTCCCAAGAGACTGGTCACAAATCGGATTCATCTTTCATCAAGGTTTCCACACCTAGCCTCTTCTCTCTACCCCTGTAGTGGTTATCCCTCCCAGCTTACACTATACAGCTACAGCCAGGATGTCTCCTCAAACCTCGTTCTTGTTTTCCTCCAGCCCAGCCTTCACCGTGTCTTATTTTCTTAAAACAAAAGTCCTGGTCCACGCTGTTACTGCGCTCACACTTCGGCCTGCTTCCCGTGACGTCTGACATTTGAATCCTTCCCTACATTCTGCATCCAGCTTCACTGCCTCCCTTGTCCGGTCCCCTCCATAGCTCGAACTGGGGAATCCACAAAGCTTCCAGAGACAGAATCTTCTTTGTATATGCCTTGTCTTTTTCCTAATGGGGAAACCATCACTGTCTCCACTGGTGTGCACAGGGGGTCTTCCCCTCTCCACTTACCTGAGCGACAAAATGCAGAAGATTCATCCCAGGCTTGTTTGCTCTTGTGTCCGCCAATTTGAGTAAAGAAGACAGTTTAAATCCTACAGCATTGCCAGCATACCCTCCCTAAAGAAGGCAAGAGAAAGACATGTGTTGAGCCTTCAGACAGACAACCAAAGCAGGCACACATCTTGTTTTGGGTTCTACTTACGGCATTCATGATATTCCCGGCCTGGAGCACCAAGTGTAATATCGAATGTAGCTCCTCACACGACATCAGCTCTGTCAAAAGGAGCACACCACTGAGCCTTAGAAAGCCGTCCCATGCATAGAAGGCAGCTACCACAAGCAAGTTCCAGCATGCCTGAAGCAAGCTCTGACCCCAAAGCAAACAGACTCTTTACTGCAGTCATGTCTGTGACAATAGACACATAATATGACCTATGTCCTAGTGTTTAGCTGGGGACCAAACATGTAGGGCAGTTGAACACTACACAAAGCTGTTCGCTGACAATTTTCAAGTCCCAGGAAGCAGAGCACCCCGAGGAAACACTGGGCCGTGGAGACTCCTCCCTGTCAGCAGTTCATTCTTTGGCTTTTTTCTTCCTTCTGCTCACTGCCATTTAAGAGTGTCTTTATGAAACATGAAATCCAAGAGCCAGCAACATTTTGCTTAGCCAGTGAGTTAGGAAAAGATAGAAAATAAACAAGCTGGGAGGTCATGTAAATAACTTGCAAACCACTAACCCTCAAGTCCCTGGTACCCAAAACATCTTTCCATCTTATTCAAAACACATTTCCTTCTGGATTGGCTGACAGCTATAAAAGGGAACTTAGGGTAATAGATTGGTAAACTAATTCTTTCTTTTAGTCACTTCCTTTAGCATATATACATATATATATATTTCTGTTTTTTAAAATTCATTTTACATACTAACCACAGTTCCTCCCATTCTCCCCCTACCTCCTTCCCTGCCCCATCCACTCCTCAGAGAGGGTAAGGCCTCCCATAAGGAGTCAACTAAGCCTGGCCTATCTAGTTGAGGCAGGACCGAGCCTCCCCCACCCCCGCCCACATCAAGGCTGAGCAAGGTATCCTACCAGTAAACTAATTCTTTATTAACACAAAATCTCTTATGCATGTCTATAAAGAAACCCAACGAAAAGTACACATTTGGGAAGCTAAACCAAACAGCGCAGTTACTAAAATGACAGCGCAGGTAATAAAATGTCACCTATGGTATCTGTAGGTCACTATTCTCCACTAAGTCTTGTATTACTTTCAAAACATTACGTTTGGACCAGTGCCTGTATTTTGTTATCTAAGAAGGCCAGTTTGGGAAGGTTACGCAGATAAGAAACGTTTCCTCCATGCCCACGAATTTATATTGCTCAATACGAAAACAAGTGCTCCCAACGCTGTTTGAACCGGAAGCTCGGTCCTTCCATGATTGCTGCAGCAGCAAACAGCCTCGGAATGGGAAGAACTGAGAGAGGCCTCCCTACTGGAAAAAGAAGAATTCCTTTTCTTATTCTTAGTGCCGCTCCAACACGAAGAAAATGTGGTGGGCTGGAGCAGGGGGGCTTTCTCTCACCACAGGCAAGAGCAACTGAACAGGAGCACCAAATAGGAGTAGACAGTTCCAGAAAAACCAGTAGAGAAGTAACTGGGAGGGAAGCAAGCTGGGGAGCTGAAGACAGGAAGGTGGGTGGACCTGCCGGTGCCAGGGCGGTGAGTGCCAGGAGCTGTAGCTGCCAGCCTACCCTCTCAAGACACACAAAAAGCCAGAGACAAAGGCCCCAGCCCCTTGGAGTCTGGGCAGGAAAAGCTCAGCTGTTTTAGACGTAAAAGGATCAGCTGACCCATCTCAGCTGTGACAGATGTTCACGTGCTGGAGTCTAGGAGGGTGGTAGGTGGGAGAAGCCACAGAACAGAAAGCTCGCACGCCATGGCAGGAAAAGGCACATTGCCTCAGTCTGGAAAGGTCTGCCCGCTTTGGGAAGGCCAGTCCCAGTCAGCAGAGAAAGGAAGGTGAAAATGGTCCAGGATACAGGGACTGTGCTTACGTGTATCACACATGTGCGCATGCTACATACTGTACCACACTCACCAGCATCACACTCCTCATACTATGTAACAAACTCCACACATGATATATTGTGCACACACACACTACCTACTAAATACCACAAATGCCATAGCACCACACATAGTGCAAACATACGTTATACCATATGCACAACACACTATACTCCACACAGACATCACACACACACACACACACACACACACACACACACACACACACACACGGAACACGGAAAGCTAACCACGTTGAGAAGCAAGACAGGTTGCTACTTGTAAGGTTTGCTCTGAAGCCTGAGATGAAAGAAACTTTCTTCCACCGAAAGATAATATGCAAATTGATGTTCATTACTTCAACTTCATCCCTCCTCATAGCTTTTTCCCTTTCTAGGTGATCCAAAAAATGGGATCATCCATTTCCAATTTCATCTGAATTTTTTATAAGAGACCAACAGCTCCCCACACTGATGAAAGCAGCCGTGCATGGAAACACGCCAGTTACCTTGTGTGGCCGTTCTTAGGACTGTTATGTCTTGGTACAGCGAGGAGCAAGAAGGCAAGAATTCCTTTTTTAGCACCATGGCTTCAATCCGAAGTGAATAGCTAAAAAGCAATAAGAAAATAAAAAGTTCAGTAAAACTGTAGCAGGCGACAGTAATGACCCCGCTCCACAGAGGCAGCGGCCAGAGAAGCAGCCTTACTTTGGCACCTGAATCAAGCCGTACAGAAAGGAATCTGCCAGAGAAAGCTTGGACACATCGCCGTTAAATGTCTTTAACTTCTTAACCTAAAAGGCAAGAGAAAAGGGGAGAAGAGGGAAAAAAAAATCATTGATCAAAATTTAAGATTAAAATTCATTTTAGGATCATTCTAAAAAAAATAATGTTTCAGTGCTAAATTCGAATAAAATGTAGACCTAAGAAAAAAGAATCCACACCTACTACTGTATTATTTTTTCTTTGCTTGCTTGTTTATCCATCTTCGTATCTGGGGATGAGCCCAGGCCCTGAGCATCTAGCCACGCACTGTACCACTGAGTCGCAGGTCTAGCTCTACTGCGGGAGGGGTAAACGATGTGGCTGGGACTCAAGCTGAGAGAGAACCTGATGAACAGGTGGAGGGATTTCCTAAATTCTAAAGGCACACTAGTGGCCGCCACACCAGGAGAATGGACATAGCCTGCAAGAACAGACCTGGGGCCCAGACCGCCTTCCTTGGGGAAAGGGCAGGTAAAATCCCCAGCCAAATCCACCTTTTCTGGCCTTGCCTCCTGGCTTTCTACAAAGTCTAAGAGAGCCTTGGGCACCAGTGGCGAGAAAAAATAGGTTCTTTCTTGCTGTGGAATAATCTTTTTGTACACTATAAACACACATTTTTCTCATTGTTACTAAAGAACTGATTGACCAAGAGCTAGGCAGGATTTTCAGGGCAGAGAGAATGCTGGTAAGAAGACAGGCAGAGCCGGGCGGTGGTGGAGGAAGAGGCAGGCGGATCTCTGGGAGTTCGAGGCCAGCCTGGTCTACAAGAGCTAGTTCCAGGACAGGCACCAAAGCTACAGAGAAACCCTGTCTCGAAAAACCAAAAAAAAAAAAAAACCAAAAAAAAAAAAAAAAA